GCGTCACTTCCGAGGCCCGAAGGACCGCGGCGGGGGCTGGCGGGGGTGGCTGGGGCCGTGCAGCCCGGCGGCTGGGCTGGCCGAGAAGCGCTGAGCCTCTGAGAGCCGAGGCCGTTTCTTTTGTGTGTCTGCGTGGGGTAGGGGGTGGGAGGACAGTTTCCTTGTCCTACTCGCGCATCTGCCATACACCACTGGGTCCCACTTGTTTCCGGAGACTGCCTTTTCACGTTGCGTCTGGCATATACAAACTTTTTTTTTTTAACATTTTCGGTTTTTCTTACATTTCTCACATCGAGAGCTTCTAGAGGTGGGACTTATAAATCCACGATTAAATACAAAGTGTAACCCCCGGGCATTCTGCGAGCGCCTTGAGGCTAACAACAGTGTCTTGTTCCGGCATCTTCAAAGACCAGCAGGGTTTTATATGCATCGTAAACGCCAGATGCCAGTTGGTGGTTATTTGCATACTATTTTATATTTCCATCTCTGTCTCCAGTCACTTCCATCTCCCTCTCCTCTCCCGTCCGTTGCCCTTTATTATTTCCTCCTTGGATGTGCAGTAGGTTTTCTCCGGCATAGTTCAAATGCTTCTGATTTGAATATATTCATCTTAGAGCCTACCCAACAAGGTGGTGGTATCTTGAGGCCAGGCGCTTCTCTTTTAGAACCATAGAACGTCCGAGTGGGAAGGGAACTGGAAAAGGTGTCATTAGGTCCAAATATCTCATTTTACAGACGAGAGAACTGAGGCCTAATAGAATCTAAGTGACTTAACTGGTATCACCTGGTCAATAGAGGTAAAGGAGGTAAAAGGATCCTTTTGCCACCAGTACTTTATTCAAATATCTCTCAAGTTTGAAGTCTTTCCCCCATTCTTTATTTCTTTTACACCCAAACGCTATCACAACCATAGAGACAAGTCTGGTGATGGCAATTTCTAGTCATACATTTCTAAAAGGATCCTTTTGCCACCAGTACTTTATTCAAATATCTCTCAAGTTTGAAGTCTTTCCCCCATTCTTTATTTCTTTTACACCCAAACGCTATCACAACCATAGAGACAAGTCTGGTGATGGCAATTTCTAGTCAGACATTTCACCAGCTAGATGACCTCAGTGAAGTTATCTACTCTCATCTTCAATCTCAGAATCTGTAAGGTTGTGATAATATCTACTTCACCAAGGTTGAAGATAGGTTAAATGAGATATTATGCAAAGTGCGCTATCCTCTTCTGCTTCTTGGATATACTAATTTGCTTTCTTCCGTGAAACATTATAAAAGAAAATAGCCAATCAAGTTAAAGGGTGAGAGCATTTTTTAGATTGGTGGTGTGAATAATGTCCTACCATCGATGTTCATGTCTTGATCCCTGGAACTTGTGAATATTACCTTACATGGGAAAAGGGATGTTGAAGATATGATTAAGTTAAGGATCTTGAGATAGGGAGATTGATTATCCTTGATTGCCCAGTGGGACCAAAGTGATCACAAGGATCCTTATAAGTGAAAGAAGGAGGCAATGGAATCAAAGAAGATGCAACGATAGAAGCAGTTTATGTTCTTTCAGTGTGCTTAAAAATGATTCCAAGGTTCTGACTTCTATTGTCTCCTGTGAAAAGTCAGCTGTGATTGTGGCTTCTGCTTATTTGAAGGTTCTTTTTCTCTAGCTGCTTTTAAGATTTTTCTCTTAGACTGGTTTTCTGCTCTTTTACTTTGTGTGTTTGGAGTGAATTTCTTTTTATTTACAATGCTTGGGTTTTACTGAACCTCTCGAATATATGGATTGACGTCTTTCATGAGTCCTGGAAAATTCTCAGTCATTACATCTTCAGGAATTGCTTTTGCCCCCACTCTCTCTTCTTCTTCTGTGATTCCAATTAAATGTATGCTAGATCTTTTCTTTTCACTATTTCTCTTACCCTCCCTTTTTTTATTTTCCATCCTTTTGTCTCTTCATGCTTTATTTTGGGTTGCTTTTTTTTTTTAATATATTTCCTAGGTTACTAATTCTCCTATGTTATTAAACTCATCTATTGACATGTTAATTTTATGTTTTTGTAAATTTAGGTTCTAGAATTTCTATTTGATTTCTTTAAGAATCTATTAGGTTCTTTTGCGGGAGGGGGGGAGTGCAGCTGGCTAGTATGGGGACCTGAACCCTTGACGTTGGTATTATTAGCACCACGCTCTAACCAAGTGACTTAACCGGCCAGCACTAGGTTCATTTTCATAACATCTAATTCTTTGCCAAAATTGTCAGTCTTGGCTTTTATCTCTTTGAATATAGTAGGCATCGTTGGTTTTCCATCTGGGGTCTGATAATTCCAATAGCTGGAGTTCCACTGGGTCTATTGTCAGTTCTTTGTCCTAGTTATGTGTGTCTATTGTTTATGCTGGTTCTCACTTGTGTTGTCTTGTCTCCTCACTATCATAATTGAAATTATCATGTCAGATGTCACAATTGAAACATTTGAAGAAATAATGTGAGACCTATGATGATGTATATTTTTTTTTTCTGAGAGGATTTTCATTTTCTTCTGGCAGGTACCACAGGGCACCAACAATCAGGATCACCCTAATCCCAATGTCTGGGAAACTTGGGGGTAAGCTGATGACTTAATTTGGTTTGCCTTTACTCCAAGGGTGCTATCCTGAGTACTAGCTCAAAACATGGTTTATCAGCGTCACCACTCTGACAGGTCCTAGAACTCCATATTTTTTTCACCTAGATGTTAAAAGTGCAGCTGAGCCTCTCAGCCATCTCTTTTCATTCTGAAAATGTCCCCAAGAGCAAAAATACTCTGAATGTATAGACCCTATCCTCTTCTGCTTCTTAGCTAGGTGATTCCTAACTCACAGTCTTGTTAGCTTTTTGATGGTTTTAAAATGTGGTTGCAGGGTACTTCTTGGCAATTTTCAAAAAATGAAATATTAGTATAGATTATAAAGGAAAATGCATAACAGCAACAACAACAAACTCTAGCACTTACTGAGTACCTTCTACATGCCAGCCTCTTTGTTAGACATCTTATAGTCAATAATTAATGTATATAGATAAACTTGGGACTTGGGTTCTTATCCTGATTTTTCAACTGACTAGCCAAGTAACCTCTGACAAGTCCTTTATTTCAATTCCTTCATGAAGTTTCCTCCCAGTTTTGAAATTCTCTTTCTCAAATCTACATAGAATTGAAAGTCCAAGTTGTCTAGGAAGTAATTCAACAAGGGTAAAATAAATGTTGCAGAGAAACTCCCTTTTATCCCACCTGTATTGGTTTCCCACGGCTGCTATAACAAATTACTACAAATTTAGTGGCTTAAAACAGCACAAATTTATTATCTTACAATTCTGAAGGTCAGAAGTCTAAAATAGGTCTCACTGGGCTCATCAAGGTAGCAGCAAGGCTGTGTTACTTCTGGAGGCTCTGGGAAAGAATTCATTATCTTGTATTTTCCAGCTTCTAGAGGCTGCCCACATTCCTTGGCTGTGACCCCCTTCCTGCAATTGCATCACTCCAATAATATAAACAATATAAAATCAAAATATTTAAGAAGAACAGGAAAGAGGTTGGAAAGGAGGTAAATAATATTCTAAGATTCTCTGTATATCTGTTTCTTCTCTGTACGGAAGAGCTTTCTCTCCTTTTCCATGCACATGGCAACCTTGGTTCCAGGTTTCGAATAACCGCCATTCAAGAAAATGGTCAGCCGTCTTAGTTTCAATTACAAAAGCTAAGGAGAAAGCAACTGATTAGCTCAGTTTTTATAGGAATGTACTCCTATACCAATCAAGTTTTTCTGAGGGGGTGTAGTCATAGAGTAAAAATATGGCTGATAAATCCTACCCTGTGAGTTGGGCAATGGTGAATTCTCAGTGAAAGATGGTTGCTTTGAGCTAGGCAGAAAGAATGTCTAACATATTCTATCTACTGGATGATAACACATAAACAAGGCATTATAATGCCTAGGGAAAGCAAATGCAAATACATAAATATTTAACACTTCCTGCTATGGTTTGAATGTCCCCCCCAAAACTCATTGAAGCTTGATCTCCATTAAGTGTTAAGAGGGTGGGAAATCAGACTATGATATTTGAAAGGTGGGGCTTTTGGGCGATGATTGGATCTTGAGGACTCTATCATCATGAATCGGTTAATCCATTCTTGGATTAATGGGTTAATGGGTTATCTGGGAGTAGACTGGGGGCTTTTTAAGGAGAGGAAGAAAGCAGGTGGAAATGCTCTCTTCTCCCTCATCATGTGATTCCCTGTGCTGCCTTGGGACTCTGTAGAAAGTCCCCACCAGTTAATATTTTGTAAAAGGACACACACACACACACACACACACACACACACACG